GTGCTGGTGTAAATATGGCTCATTACAGCCTTTACCTCCCATGCTCAAGTGATCCTTCTGCCTCAGCCTCCGGTGTAGCTGGGGACGCAGGTGTGTACCACCATGCCTGGCTGATTCGGGTTTTTTAAAGAATCCCTGTGACTGCATGAAAAGAATGGATTTTGTGAGGATAGAAGTAGAAGGAGAAAGACATTTAGGAAGTTACTGTGGAAATCCAGACAACAGAAGGTGGCAACATGGACTAGAGAGGTCACAACAGCAAAGGTGAGAAGTGGATTGTTTCTGGATATATTTTGGTGGTAGAACACACAGGGCTCCAGGAATCTAGTTAGCAGAAACTAATTGAAGGGTAACTTCTACATATCTTACAGAGATGAAGGTTGCTAGGGAAAGGGTGCTAAGTAAAAATATTATATACACTGCTTGCCTTTTATAAGTGGTTGAGGTTATTCTGCCCAGTCTGCTGCCACTGGGCTGTGTGGTCCTCCTGCCCAGCCACTATCACTGGACTCTCTCCCTGGTATGTAACCCCCCCCGATAAAACCCCATGTCTCTTTTGCTGGCACTGGGCTTCTTCTTCAGTCTCTTGAACCTGATCCCACCCCCAATGGAGTACACAGGGGTTCAACACAACACAAAAGAAGAAGGAAGAGTTACTGGATTGACAAAAATACAATGTGTTTCCTATATGTGTGCTAAGTTTATAATCACCTTATCAATTCTTTTTAGAAAAATATCCCAGCATATATCACATTATTGAACACATTAATCCTAGCTTATAAAACATTAAAGCATACAAGCAAAATAACAGTATACAAATTAAAATATCAATTCCAGAGCTTCTGCACAGCAAAAGAAACAATCAGTAGAGTGAATCAGCAACCAACAGAATGGGAAAAAATTTTTGCAATCTAGCCATCTAAAAAAGGGCTAATAGCCAGAATCTACAAAGAATTAAAACAGATTTACAAGAAGAAAACAAACAAGCCCATTCAAAAGTGGGCGAAGGATATGAACAGACACTTTTCAAAAGAAGACATGTATGAGGCCAACAAACATATGAAAAAATGCTTATTATCACTGGTCATTAGAGAAATGCAAATCAAAACTACATTGAGATACCATCTCACGCCAGTTAGAATGGCAATCATTAAAAAATCCGGAGACAACAGATGCTGGAGAGGATGTGGAGAAATAGGAATACTTTTACACTATTGGTGGGAGGGTAAATTAGTTCAACCATGGTGGAAGACAGTGTGGTGATTCCTCAAGGATCTAGAAATAGAAATACCATTTGACCCAGCAATGCCATTACAGGGTATATACCCTAAGGAATATAAATCGTTCTATTATAAGGACACATGCACAGGAATGTTCACTGCAGCACTGTTTACAATAGCAAAGTCTTGGAACCCACCCAAATCCCCATCAATGATAGACTGAATAGGGAAAAATGTGGCACATATACACCATGGAATACTATGCAGTCAGAAAAAACGATGAGTTTGTGTCCTTTGTAGGGACATGCATGAACCTGGAAACCATCATTCTCAGCAAACTGACACAAGAACAGAAAATCAAACACTGCATGTTCTCACTTATAGTCGGGTGTTGAACAATGAGAACACATGGACACAGGGAGGGGAGCATCATATACTGAGGTCTGCTGGGGGGAACTAGGGGAGGGACAGTGTCGGGTGGGGAATTGGGGAGGGGAGAAATGCCAGATATAAGTGATGGGGAGGAAAGCAGCAAACCCATTGCCATGTATGTACCTATGCAACAATCCTGCATTTTCTTCATATGTACTGCAAAACCTAAAATGCAGTAATATATATATAATAAAAAAAGAATTGGGGTAACCTGCATGAGTTCATTATGGTTTCCCAATTACTGATACTCATAAAATCCTGTGTTTAAATACCACTTTGACAATGAAAGTAAAAAATAAATTAAAATATCAAAACCTAATATTTTATCTCATGCCTAAGCTCTTCCCAAAATTAAGTTCAAATTGACAAACTTTTCCATATTAATTTAAAAGTTTAAGTTCTTTACATTACGCTTTTTTTTCCAGAATGCAGATGAAAGCTCTAAGCTCAAAGATAAAAGTCACATTCTCTCTCTCTCTCTCTCTCTCTCTCTCTCTCTCTCTTTCTCTCTCTCTCTTTTAGATGGAGTCTCACTCTGTCACCCAGGTTGGAGTGCAGTGGCACGATTTTGGTTCACTGCAATCTCCATCTCTTGGGTTCAAGTGATTCTTGTGTCACAGCCTTCTGAGTAGCTGGGACTACAGGCGTGCACCACCATACCCGGCTAATTTTGTATTTTTAGTAGACACGGGATTTTCACCATTTTGGCCAGGATGGTCCCGAACTCCTGGTCTCAAGTGATCCACTGGCCTCAGCTTCCCAAAGTGCTGGGATTACAGGTGTGAGTCACTACGGCTAGCCAAAAGCCACATTTTCTTTGGAGGATCCCAAGAGTTGCCTTCTCCATCTCCTTCTCTTTCTGTTCTGTACTTTCTTAGTTGCCATAATACATGGCACTTTGTATTCTGCCAATAAATACAAAGTGAAGGCAGCCATAAAGTAGTAGACAAACCACTTAGTTGGCCACTAGAAGCCTAAAGCCTGTCTCTTATGTGATTCCACAAACAAATCACTTACCCTCTCCAAATGGAGCTTCCCTTCTGTTAAATGTTGTCAGATGTATATATCCAAAAGGTTGCTGTTGGAACCACTGAGAGTATCTGTGAAAGCACTTAGAAAATTGTGAAGAACTATCCAAATGCAAGGTATGATGATTAATTTAGACTATTTCAGGATCTGGACTCCTGACCTCTTTATATTTCTTATAAGGTTATCTGTCTTACCCTCCCTTGTTCATACATTTCTACTAGAATATCATTGGTGCCATATTTTTCTGGCTGACCCCAATCTAAATTTCAAAAGGCAGCTTTTAGCACCTCCTCCAAGAAGACTTTTGTGTTCATTCCCTGTGTTAGGTATTTTCTCTTTAGACTCTCAATAACCTATGCTACCTTGATTAAAACACATGTCATATTGTACTATTTCTTAGATAAAAGGACTTCTCTTGTTAACTAGGTTTCCTCATGTGTTAGTTCTTCCATTTTATGATTTTCTCTTTCTTCTAAAGTGTTAGTTTTCTTACCTGTTTGATGGTTTCTGTGTCTGCCTGCCTTTGCACTTGAGATTAACTGTAACTGTATTGTGAATGCTAATTATCTCCTTACCAAAGATTGATGACAGTGATTTTTAGTAAGGGGCCGTACAGGTGCTATGATTTGCATGTGTCCTATAAAGTTCCAGTGTTGGAAACTTAATTCCCCATGTAATAGTGTTGAGCAATGGCACCTTTGAGAGGCGACTAGGTCACGAGGGCTCTGCTCTCATGAATGGGTTCATGTTTGTATTATGGGAACGGATTTGTCATCTTGAGAGTAGGTTTGTTATCAAAGTGAGCTCAGCTCTTTCATGGTTTCTCTTGCCATGTGATGTCTTCTGCCATGTTATAATACAACAGAGGAGGTCCTCACCAGATGTAGCCTCTCAAGACTGGACTTCCAAGCCCTCAGAACCATGAGCCAAATAAATTTCTATTTATAAGTTATCCCATCTCAAGTATTCTTTTGTAACAGCACAAAACAGACTAAGCCAGCGGGATATGCCAGTAGTTAGTTTTCTGAGTGGTAATGTCCTCAGGTGACATTTTTTCCTTTTCTACATTATATAAAAAGGAAAAAAGATGACATTCTAATAGATGAAAGATAACTATTAGTAAAATTATCTAAAGTTGACTAGGTTATTTTTAGCATTCTTTTGACAAGAGATTTGTCAATGTCTCAAGCATCAGAAAACTTTGTAAGGACAAAGGCTATACCTGTTCTTCATGTATTCACACTGTTCAGTGCACATAGAAAGTAATCAAATATTTTGGTTAAGTGAATGAATTAGTCACTTAGGAAGAAATGGAAGATATGAGTAGTAAAAATAATTTGATAAATTTACGAGGTCAATAGGAACACACACAAAAAAAGCCACGACTCATGTGTCCCCTTCTCTGCCCTGAAGACAGTGGCTTTTCTCAGAGTTTCTACTGAGCAATAGAGCATACAGAAGGGGATTTCACCTCCTGCTCCATCAGGACACAGATCTCATCACCTTGCAATTGTATGCAGCCTGGAAAACAACCAGAGTGTCGGTTCACATATCGAGGCTGCTGGAGGTTGTACGACATCTTTTAAACAACTTGAGTCCATAATAACCAATCTTAGTCCAAAACAGCCAATCATACTGTAGCTGGTCTTCAAACTGCAAGCCACAATTAATTCACCTTGTGAGCTCTTGTTGTTATTATAAATAAAAATCATGGTATTAGAGATGAGAAAATGCCACACACGATCAGAAATGAGTTACAGTCCATTCTTTTTTCCTCCAGTTTTAAGGCATACCAAATATGCAGGATTACTTCATAGCTAATCAGTTTCACTGGTTCATATTTCATTTCTCAGCATACCATTTCACTGGGCCCTAAACACTTTTTAGCAACACAGTTCCTACTATCTTCAGAATTTCATATTTGAAAACACCTCTTTTATTCTAAAAGTTCAGACATTTAACCCACTCAGAAAGGAGAAACAATCACAAAACTATTGAGAGAATTAGAGTGAGAGATTTATTTGTGGCCACCCCACCATCATCTTTTTCTTTAAAGTCACTGTCTCTGTAATCCTGTGACAAACATCATTCCTTAAGTATTTCACATACTTCCTGGGTTCTATTTTTAAATTAATGAGAGTGCATCATGCTTAGTGTTTCAAAACAAATTTCACACCACTGATTTCTGCTATTGCTGCTTTTTTCCTGATAAACATCACTAAGTGATCGATTTAATAATCGTTTATTGTCTTCGGTTGCCAAACATTCCCTGACTTTGCTCAGCAGACGTTTCCATGTAACAGAAACTGGCTTCCCTTTAAAAAATACTTGTAGGTATGATGGAGCCTTCTAAAATGGAAAGAATTTATCTGTCTCTGTCCGAAGTAATCCGCTGAAATGCAATCTGGGGATTATAAAGGGTCAGATGTTGCCTTTATAATAACAAACACCCAGCAACTAGAGGAATAAAAGTGAGAAGCTCAAGGAAAGAGGTAAGGCTATGGGGACATAGAATTTGAATGTTAGTATAGGGACTAATTTGGGAGGAGATATTCTACTGCAGTTTTTACTAAAATAATTTTTGAGGCTATTTATATGTAATAGCGTATATGTTTTCTATGACCGTGATCTTTCTTTCTTCCAAAATGCATCTTTCAAAAATGAAGAGATAGCATTCCAAAGTTTCATGTAAAAAACAATTACTTCAATATTTTATTTAAAGTAAATCTATCTCTTGCATTTATTCCAATAGATTTTCCATCTTTCTTGGCATTCGATTGTATGTAAAAAAGCACACTTCTCTTGAGAGGCCAAATACATGTATATAATTTATTAGCTGGTTATTTAAATTAAAATATAATTTTAATTAGTGCAAAATCAGTTCTTGTCATTAGGTAATATAAATAAACAGTGGAACTACCCAATTGCTACCAAGCCATCTGAATACTCAGCCAAGGCCATGTCAGAGCATGACCTAGCAGAAAATTACAACTACTACCACTGGCTGGTGCTCATGTTACAGATCAGGAATGATAAATACCTGGCACTTCTATTACCACTCTCTTACATCATGCTCATGGCAGACATTAATAATCAATCATAATACTCTCCCTATGTCCAGGAGCAACCTTAGAATCCTTAACAGAGCCTCATGGTAGACAGCCACTATCAATCAAGTCAGTGTTTGAGATGAAACCTATATTCATATACACAGAAATAAACAGCAAAAACCAAATGCAAAGTGCAAGTTTATTCACTGTTAGGTGAGACCACTGCACGCTATGGCAGAGCCTTGGATCTGGCTCAGGCTCAAGGACAAAATGGGAGTCCTCCTTTCTCTCACAGAATCTGCATTCTGGAACATGAGCATTTGGGATCTGTCTGTTGGATGGGGGTTAAGGAAAGAGAAGTGGGGAAGGAGAGATGGGCAAGGGAAGAGAACAGTCAAAGGAGAGGGAAGGAATGAGCAGGGCAGGGCAGGCCCTAAGAGAGGCCTTGAATTAGCTTACTGATTTTACCACAACTCCTTACAAATAATAGTACACTTCTTGAGAGTTTACTACGCAGTAGGCACAAGGCACAGTGCTAACCTGATGTCATCATCTCACTTGGTAATTCCAAAACGCCTCTGAGGAAGTTTATCAGTTAAAAATTATGTGGGTGGCATAAGAATCAGAATCCCCCTGGGAAATCCCCCTGGGATAACGGGAACTGTCTAGATGACATAGGTGTTAGGGCATGGAGAGGTTCTTACCCCTCTACACCTGAGGGTAGGAGGCAGGAGATCTGTGGAACCCAGGGAAAGAACTGCAGCTATAGCAGAGGACCATCTGCCAGAGGTGTGGCTTTGGGTAGAGGAATACAGCTACTATCCCACAGCTGAGAATGAGGGAGCTAGAGGGATCTATTCTCCAACCTGTCTTCCATTTCCTGCTAGTTCCTCCCGTCGACCAAACCCCTCTGGAAGCCAGAGAGCAATGGCCCTTTGATGTGGTTCAAGGCAACTTTCCCTTGCAATGTAGCAAAAGGGCACAAGCAAAACTGGATCTGGAGGGGCAAGCAGAATATTCAGCACAGGCGGGTGGCAGAAAACCCAAACAACAGTGACTTAACCATACAGGTTTCCACTGAAAAGAGAAGTTACAGCTGCTCAGCAGGGAAGTCATTAGCAACCCAGCCTCCTGTGAGCTCTCCGCTCTCCTCTCAAGCCAGAAAGACCTCCTCCAGCCCTGGGTACCACACCACACTCCAGGCAGAAAAAAGGAGGAGAGTAAAAAGCAAAACCAAGTTCAACCTGAGTCTATCAGGAAAACAATTAGTGTCCCCAGGATACTTACATCTCATCGGCCAGACCCAGGTGATGGGTCCTTTTCTAGCTGCAAAGGGAGCTGGGGGAGGGAAGTATTTTTAACTGAGCTAGGGTCATCAGATAAAATACACAATACCTAGTTAAATTTAAATTTCAGATAAATAATAAATCTTTAGTAAATGAGATATACTTTTACTAAAAAATTATTCATAGTTTATTGAAAATACAATTTAACTGTACAGCATATATTTTTTTTTCTAAGTTGGGCTACTCTAACCTGGGCACATTGTCACCCAAACAATATTGAGGGGTTTACTATGGAAGAAGAGAGGTACAGATATTGAGTATGGAATGAGCTGCAGCTGCCACAGATGAGTACTATTATTATGCCCATTTTACAGTTTCAGAAGCCAAGGCTTAGAGAAAGGGAGGAATTTAACCAGGTTATATAGCTAATAAGTGCTGAAGCTGGGATTTGATCCTGGTTAGGTTAAATCCAGTGCTTTTTAGCACTTATATTATCAGCCTCTGTGACTTAAGAGGCTTCAGAACAGCAAAAGGAAGTCAAGAGCTCTCTGACACAGTGACTGTCCCACCAGTGAAATGTGTTCTAATAGAGGCAAGATTGTCACCATGAAGATCAGATTGTTGCCAATCAGATTAGCAACTACACCTCTTAGAGCAGTGGTTCTCCATGGAGGGAATGCAAGTTTGCCACCTCTCCCCCCCACAAGAGGGGCACTTGGCTATAGCTAGGGACATTTTCAATTGTTAAAACCAGGGAGAGTAATATTGGCATCCAAAAGGTGAGGCCAGGGATGGTGCTAAATATTCTATAATGCATATGAATGCTTCTTAATCCCTCAGAATTAAGAAGCAACTGATCCAAAATGCTGAGATTCTGCAGGAAATAATGAGTAGAATCTGTAGAAGAGTATCCTGCAGTACATATCCCCCAAACACAAAGTAAGAGCTTGGACAAAGGCCCATACATAAGAAGATTTCCCCTAACATCTCTATCATTTTTTTAAAAATTTCAACCATTTTATTTAAAATTGTGCCAGTAAAAATGCAGGGGATGCAGTCTTCTCATTTTTGTAATATGAGGGAACAAATAGGTTTATAAAATTGCCCACATTACTTTAACATCTAACATTTTTTATAGCACATCTTCCTGTAATGTATTTGTTCTTTACAGTTCCCACTTGTCTGTAAGATTCTCAGAGGTGAGGAACAATGTCTTCAATTTGTTTCACTGATACAATGCCTGGTATGTAGTATGCATTTCCATGTTTAAGCAAAAATAATTTGCTACCTGTGCTGTAAACCTGAAATTAGTGAAATTAGTTCTTAATCTTTTAAAAATAATATTAAAACCCAAAACTTCTCTTATTCTTGGATATAATTCTGAGATCAACTTGGTTGTTTGTTAAAACATTAAGCAGCCTGCATAATACTTTTGTAGACAGGCCTAGTTCCTTGTTTCCCTAACAACTGTATCTGAGAGTACAACTGATCACATGCTATTTTATGACTTAGATTTAGACATTTAACATTTCCCACAGCATATAAACAAGAGTAAATAATATGCCAGGAAAATATATTCTACAGCCAGAGAGACCAGGGCCCTTGCAAAGGACTTTAGAGTTCAAAATTATGAAAACAGTTATGACTGTCATTATAGAACTATTTGTTTAAAACAAATAGCAGTATATGCCCAAGGAATTTAACATCATTTACAGCCATGTGATCCCTAATGACAGGAATGCATTCTGAGAAACGTGTCCTTAGAAATTTCATTGTGTGAACATCATAGAGTGCTCTAATGCAAACCTAGATGGTATGTACTCAGGCTATAAGGTAGAGCCTAGTGCTCCTAGGCTACGAACCTGTATAGCATATGTCTGTCTTCAACGCTGTAGGCAATTGCAACACAATGGTAAGCATTTGTGCATCTAAACATAGAAAAGGCATAGAAAAAATACAGCATTATAATCTTATGGGAACCATATGTGGTCCATCATTGACTGAAACACTGTTATGCAGCTCATGACAATACTTCTTTACTAAAGCCAATCATAAGTAAAAGTAAAGACCGGGCATGGTGGCTTCCACCTGTAACCCCAGCACTTTGGGAGGCCAAGGAAGGAGGATTGCTTGAGTCCAGGATTTCAAGGCTACAGTGAACTACAATCATGCTGCTGCATGCTAGCCTGGGTGACAGAGACCCCGTCTCTAAAAAAGTAAAAATAAATATTAAAAAGTAGAAGTATTCCTGACCACCTCTGGGGATATGAAAAAAAGAAAAAGAAAAAAGTAGAAGTAAATATGTTGCTTAAAATCATATTTTGTCTCCCAGGCTGGATTGCAGAGATCACTGCAGCCCCATCCATATGGGCTCAAGTCATCCTTCCACCTCAGCCTCCCGAGTAGCTTGGACTACAGGTGCACACCACTATGCCCAGATATTTTTTGTAGAGACAGGTTTTCACCATGTTGCCCAGGCTAGTCTCAAACTACTAGGCTCATGCCATCCTCCTGCCTCAACCTCCCAAAGTCCTGAGATTACAGGCATGAGCCACCACAACTGGCCTGTTTAGATTCTTTTGGATCAACTGCACTACTACTGTCTTCTCACTATGTCAGATACAAATTTAGAAGACCAGAGTACACACAAATTTAATCTTCCTGGATGGGCTTTTTGATTCAAGAACACTCTGTGTCAGAGAATGATAAATGGTCACAGATTTGAACTTGCATGTGTGCTCCTTTTCACAGATATCTTCAAAGGGATAGCAGTTGCTTTACTAATATCACTAATGAATGGATGAGGGCAAAGAGCGAGATTTAAGCCATTATTCTAATTGTTAAAAATATATTGTTGATCAGAATCTAGTTTGGAGCTATTTTCTTTCTTCTCCAGTGTTTATCTGATTATCTTGCTAGTCTATGCATGGTACTTTTGACACTCCCCAACACAGACACTAGGCTAAAGATGTTAATATCCCTTGAGAGTCTTGCCAGATCTCTAGCCCAAACCTTGCACTATTGAGACAGTGCCAGACCTACACTGGATGTCAAGCCAACAGCTTTTGAAGAGTAGACTGCATCATCATTGCTAGTCTAGCATTATTTATTTATCAAATGTATAAATTACCATTTGATTATCAAGATGCTTGTGTTAGCTGGAACCAGAATTTTAAGTTTATTAAAGATGTGAGTTCCATGAGGTTTTTCCAAATGGAACTTTAGCCAACGGATATTGGTTACTTAAGTAACCAAAAGACACCATTAATAGACTGGGTTCATTTCTAAAGTGATCCATTGGCATAATCCCAGGGAGAGGAACCAGCAAGTGTAAATCATCTGCTCTGTTACGTACTGTGCATATGTTTTCCCTGTCTACTTCTCACAACATCAACTCCTCGTTACCATTTTAAGGATGCAGAAAATGCCCTTGAATGTGTAACCTAATAAAGCATCAGTTTATTTATCTACAAAATGATAGTAATAATAGTACTTACCTCATGAATATGTTGCAATGATTAAATGGGATAACACATGCAAAACTAAATTACATGATAGTGATGTAAATACTGTTAGGTCTTGTTGGTTTTTTTGTTTTGTTTTGTTTTTGAGATGGAGTCTTGCTCCGTTGGAGTGCAATGGCATGATCTTGTCTCACTGCAACCTCTGCCTCCCGGCTTCAAGAAATTCTCCTGCCTCAGCCTCCTGAGTAGCTGGGACTACATGCATGAGCCACCACACCTGACTAATTTTTGTATTTTCAGTAGAGATGGGGTTTCACCATGTTGGCCAGGCTTGTCTCAAACTCCTGACCTCAAGTGATCCACCTGCATTGGCCTCCCAGAGTACTGGGATTATTGGCATGAGCCACCACACCTGGTAGGTCTTGTTATTAATTTCTACTAATAAGGCCACAGTGTACGAAAGTGACTCCAGAGCCTTTCTTCTAAGATTCCACATGACCTTCAAATAACTACAGTAACAATTTTTTTGGTGTAATCTTTTAACTACAGTAACATACAGTAGCAATTAACTACAGTAAGTCTTTTTCAGTGCAATTTTCTCATGCAATCTTAGGACTACCTCAGATGGACTATACATACACATTGACCTTTTTATATCTTCCATTTTGAACTTACTATTTAATTTCCAGAACTCACCTCCAGCCTTTAAAACAAAAGGAAAAAAAAAAACCCCACAGACCAAGCAACTTGTACATGCTGATCCCTAATCTTAAATTATCCATTCTTTCAGATTTTAAGAAAACTGTGATTATTTTAGTCTGATGTGCTTGGATTATAGCAGCATAGGACTCTATTATAGGAAGGATGATCCTTAGCTAGGGTTCCCAGACAGGAAACCTATACTTGGCTGGTGATCTGCAATATGACCACCACCAGCTGCTCACTGCTGACTCTGCTCTTGGAAAGCTACCACTCCCTATTGCCTGACACTTGATGGTGATTACAAATGTAATACAAGCATGCACAGCCTAACACTGTTTCTGTATAAAACATGTACCATGGTAGTCCTGTAACATTATAATGGAGCTGAAATATTCCTAACACCTAGGGACATCATAACTGTTATCGTGTCACAGTACAACACATTATCCATGTTTGTGGTGATGATGGTTTAAACAAACCTACCATGCTGCTGGTCATATAAAAACATAGCATATGCAATTTTGTACAGTATATAATACTGGATAATAATATAAATGACTATGTTACTGTTTATGTATTTACTATGCTTTTTTTTCATTATTTTAGAGTACATGCCTTCTACTTACTTTTTAAAAAAGTTAACTGTAAAATAGCCTGAGGCAGGTCCTTCAAGAGGTATTCCAGAAGGCATTGTTGCCAGAAGAGATGACAGCTCTATGTGTGTTACTGCCCTTGAAGACCTTCCTGTGGGACAAGATGTGGAGGTGAAAGACAGTGATATTGATGATCCTGACCTTGTGTAGGCCTAGGCTAATGTGTATGTTGTGTCTTTGTTTGTGTCCATGTCTTTGTTTTAACAAAAAAGTTTAAAAAGTAATAGAAAAATTAAAAAATTTAAATATATGAAATACTAAAAAAATGGCCAGGTGTGGTGTGGTGGCTCATCCCAGCACTTTGGGAGGCCGATGAAGGTGGATCACCTGAGGTCAGGAGTTCGAAACCAGCCTGGTCAACATGGTGAAACCCCATCTCTATTAAAAACACAAAAAAATTAGCCAGGTATGGTGGTGGGCTACTGTAATCCCAGCTACTCCAGTGGCAGAGGCAGGAGAATCATTTGAATTTGGGAGGCAGAGGTTGCATGAGCCAAGATCATGCCATTGCACTCCATGCTGGGCAACAAAAGCAAAACTCCATCTCTCTCTCTCTCTCTCTCTCTCTCTCTCTCACACACACACACACACGTATGTATTATAATATGTTTTAAGCAAAATGTTATGAGTTAAAAAGTTAAAAATAAAATGTTTTAAAGTAATACAATAAACTAAGATTTACTACTGAAGAAAGAAAAATTTCTAAAATAAACGTTGTATAGTCTAAGTATACAGTATTTATAAAGTCTACATAATGTTCAATAATGTTCTAGGTCTTCACATTCTTTCATGCCTCACAGACTTACTAAAGCAACTTCTAGTCCTGCAAGTTCCATTTATGATAAATTCCCTATACAGGTGCTCGGTTCCTTTATTTTTTTCCCATTGTTTATATATTTTTACTGTACATTTTATGTTTAGATACACAGCTGCTTATCATTGTATTACAATTACCTATAATATTCAGGACAGTAACATGCTGTACAGATTGGTAGCCTAGAAGCACTATAGTATATAGCCTTGCTGTGTAGTAGGCTACACTACCTAGGCTTGTATAAGTAAACCCTTTTTTTAAAAAAAAGACGGGATCTCACTTTGTCGCCCATGCTGAAGTTCAGGGGCGAGATCATGGCTCACTGTAGCCTTGACTTCCCAGTACACTCTATGATGCTCACAAAATCACCTGATTTCTCAGAATATATTATCATCCTATTCATTACTGTACATCTCCTTTTTTTCAAATTGGACAAGATAACAGCACGCACAGAGTCAGAGGTCCCTTACTTCAGGAAGCCTTTCTTGACTCCACCTATTGGTTTCTCATGCTTAGCTGTCTATTGTGTCCTTAATCATATCACTTTGTGCTATGTTACAATTACCTATCTATGTGACGTCATCCCTGACTAGGCTGTAAACTCCTAGGAGATACATCCTGTGTCTGAGACTGTGGCATTCCCACTGCCTAGAACATTATAGGTAATCAATAAATACTTAATAAGCAAACAAACAACATATGAAAAACCAAGGAAATAAGGATGAATACACAGTGCCTTTGGACCGACTTGCATGGTCATGGCTGTGGTGGACAGAAGAGGAGAGTTCTGAATGGGGTGGACTGTATAGTCCACCTTAAGCAGTAAGGTGGGCTAGAATACTGAGACCTTAAGTATTCAGGTGTGGTGATCAAGTTAGGAAAGAACCACTTTTTTTTTTTCCAATTTAAAAATTGCAGTAAGAAATAAACCAGAAAATCAAGAAGAAGTGGATAAATTCCGGACACTTACACCCTCCCAAGACTAAACCAGGAAGAAGTTGAATCCTTGAATAGACCAATAACAAGGTCTGAAGTTGAGGCAGCAATTAATAGCTTGTCAACCAAAAAAGTTGAGGACCAGATGTTCACAGCAAAATTCTACCAGAGGTAAAAAGAGGAGCTGGTACCATTCCTTCTGAAACTATTCCAAACAATACAAAAAGAGGAAATCTCCCCTAACTCATTTTATGAGACCAACATCATCCTGATATCCAAAACTGGCAGAGACACAACTAAAAAAAAATTTCAGGCCAATATCCATGATGAACATTGATGTGAAAATTCTCAATAAAATACTGGCAAAGCAAATCCAACAGCATATCAAAAAGCTTATCTATCATGACCAAGTCAGCTTCATTCCTGGATTGTAAGGCTGGTTCAACATATGCAAATCAGTAAACACAATCCATCACATAAACAGAACCAAAGGCAAAAACTACAAGATTATCTCAACAGATGCAGAGAAGGCCTTTGACAAAATTCAACAGCCCTTTATTCTAAAAACTCTCAATACACTAAGTATTGATGGAATGTATCTCAAAATAATAAAACCTATTTATGATAAACCCACAGCCAATATCCTACTGAATGGGCAAAAACCAGAAGCATTCCCTTTGAAAACTAGCACAAGACAAGGATGCCCTCTCTCACCACTCCTATTCAACGTAGTATTGGAAGTCTGGCCAGGACAATCAGGCAAGAAAAAGAAATACAGGAAGTCTGACCAGGACAATCAGGCAAGAAAAAGAAATACAGGTTATTCAATTAGGAAAAGAGGAAGTCAAATTGTCTCCATTTGCAGATGACATGATTGTATATTTAGAAGACCCTATTGTCTCAACCCAAAATCTCCTTAGATAAGCAACTTCAGCAAAGTCTCAGGATACAAAATCAATGTGCAAAAATCACAAGCATTCCTATACAGCAATAAAAGACAAACAGCCAAATCATGAGTGAACTCCCATTCACAATTGCTACAAAGAGGATTAAATACTTAGGAATACAACTGACAAGGGATGTGAAGGACCTCTTCAAGGTGAGCTACAAATGACTGCTCAAGGAAATAAGAGAGGACACAAACAGATGGAACAATATTCCATACTTAAAGTTAGGAAGAATCAATATTGTGAAAATGGCCATACTGCCCAAAGTAATTTATAGATTCAATACTATCCCCATCAAGCTACCACTGACTTTCTTCACAGAATTGGAAAAAAACCACCTTAAATTTATGGAACAAAAAAAAAAAAAAAAGCTGGAGGTATCACAGTACCTGACTTCAAACTGTATTACAAGGCTACAGTAATCAAAACACTATGGTAATGGTACCAAAACAGAGATATAGACCAATGGAACGAACAGAGGCCTTAGAAATAATGCCACACATCTACAACCATCTGATCTTTGATAAACCTGACAAAAACGAGCAATGGGGAAAGGATTCCCTATTTAATTAACGGTGTTGGGAAAACTGGCTAGCCATATGCAGAAACCTGAAAAGCAGATCCCTTCCTTACACCTTATACAAAAATTAACTCAAGATGAATTACAGATTTAAACATTTAAGACCTAACATCTTCAACAGCACCTTAAAAAAATGCACTGAAAAACAAAAACAAAAAACCTAACATCATAAAAGCCCTAGAAGAAAACCTAGGTATTACCATTCAGGACATAGGCATGGGCAAAGACTTCATGACTAAAACACCAAAAGCATTAGCAGCAAAAGCCAAAATAGACAAATGGGATCTAATTAAACTTGAGAGCTTCTGCACAGCAAAAGAAACTATCGTTGGGGGCATCCAAGATGGCCAAATAGGAACAGCTCTGGATTGCAATTCCCAGTGAAAACACATAGGATGAGTGATTACTGCATTTCCAACCAAATTTGTACTGCCCACAGACCAGGAGATTCCTGGGCAGAAAAGCGCCACCAGCCCCCAGTGCGGCCATTTCAGTTGGTGCTGTGGGTCTCCACACAAAAACTCACACAAATCCAGGCACCTTTTGAACTGGCAACTGGAACACGTGGGAGACAGAGTTTCCCATGCAACTGAAAAAAAGGAGACTGAAATGGGGAACCAGACAGAATATTCCCGGGTGGAAAACCACCACGAGCCCCCAGTGTGGCTGTTTCAGCCGGTGCAGCAGGTCTCTGCACAAAATCTCACACAAATCCAGGCACCTTTACAAGTGGTGACTGGAAGGTCTGGGAGACAGAGTCACCCATGAAACTGAAAAAGAAAAGGGGTTGAAACAGGGAGGCCAGATGATCTGGCTCAGCTGGTCCCACCCCCACAAAGACCAACAATCCGAAATGCTCTGGATTGAGAGTTTCACAGCAAGAACAGCTGGACCCAGGATGGCTCACCACTGTGTGGGAAGGGTGTCTGCCATCACTGAGGCAGTCCACTGCTACTGAGGCAGTCTGCCATTACAGAGACAATCTGCCATTACAGAGACAGTCCGCCATTACTTAGGCAGTTCTAACTATACCCTATAAACAAAACTGCAAGGAGGTTCACGCAGCAGCTGGGCAGATCCCACAGCAGTTCAGCAACACTTCTGCTGGCAGACTGTGACCAGGCTACCTCCTCACTGGGCAGGGAATCTCTGAAAAAAGGCAGCAGCATGATAGAAACTTAAAAATAAAGTCCCACCTTCCTGGGACAAAGCACCTGGGAACAAAAGGCGGTTATGAGGTCTGCTGCATCAGACTTAAACACACCTACCCAGTAGCTCTGAACAGAACAATGGAGTTCACAGCTCAGCACTTGAGCTCCAGTAAAGAAAAGACTGTCTCCTCAAGCAGCTCCCCAACCCCCATATATCCAAAGAGTCACCTCATAAAGAAGAGCTCAGACTGACATCTGGCAGGTATCTTTCTGGGATAAAAATAGCAGTAGAAGAAACTGCCTGCAACCCTTACTGTTCTGCAGCCACTATAGGTGATCCCCAGCCAAGTAGGAGTGGACCTCCAGCAGTCCTACATTAGAGGGTCCTGACAGTTAGAAAGAAAACTAAGAAACAGAAAGAAATAACTTCATGATCAACAAACAGGACATCCACTCAGAGACCCCATTTAAAAGTCGCCAACTACAAAGACCACAGAAAGATAAATCCACAAAGATGGGAAGAAACCAGCATAAAAAGGATGAAAACACCCAAAAACAGAATGCCTCTCCTCCGTCAAGGGATCCCTTCTCACCAGCAAGGGAACAAGGCTGCATGGAGAATGAGTCTGATGAATTGACAGAAACAGGCTTCAGAAGGTGGGTAATAAGAAATTTCTCTAGCT